CTTTGATACTTGAGGTCAAGGTCAATTAGTTGTGTTGACCTCAGTTTTTGGTATGGGACACCTTGCTTGACCATGATGTTACAAAATAGTAGGTAGGATTTCTCTATCTAAATACAACAGATGTAACACACATGATCCGAAAACATGGTTAGATGGACTGAATGATGGATGAATGCACCAGCTGTCAAAGAGAACACAATGGAACACACATATGTACCTCCCACTATGTAATGGGGGTATAAAAACTTGGTAAAAAATGGTAATGTATACTGAGAATGGGCTGGTATGAAGACTGACAGATAAAACGTATACCTAAAATACATAACCCTACACTGATGTAACGATTACCCACAGACAACCAAAGACAGAAGTAGATGACAAGCTGCACTCCTCTAAAGTAAAACATATTTCATACTCATTACTATTATATAGGTGGTGAAAAAATATCTGATTAGCCAACTGTTCACTGATTCTTGTATAAGGGAGTTTACATAAGGTACTTGACGACCTTGGCAGGCAAGCTATTAACTGGTGTTATATATAACACCAAGGTCATCAAATGTAGAATTCAACCTTACATCTAACGTTTCCTTGTTTGCTCTTGTTGTCTTTTTCACACATGCCGACTACGTGGAGGTAGTCCTACCATTGTGCAGTGGCTACACAAGTATTAATGTGTGATAGATAACCACTAACAGGCCTAATGACTGCTATTAAGTGTATACGTACCGCGCCAAGCTTGTAGAAACATGCAGCTGATAGAAACCTATATCTGCTGCCATGTCATTCCATGTACTACAACTTTACACTTCAGTAATTAGGAACTTATTTAACAAGATCTAAGCCATCAGAGGAATTCAGAGGTTTTTTTCCACCTGGCCTACATTACTCTGATCTGCATGTTACAGAGTCTTACAGGATGTTTTATTTTTTCTAGATCAACATTGCAATTGATATCAGCCTTGTATTTGCAGTGGTTTCCAAACTGGGATGTATTATCAGCAAGAATGGTCAAATAGCCAAAATTTGCTGATTTCCATGTTGAAAGAAATTCAAGCAATCAACAGGTCAGACACCCCAATGTTTATATATCTCAAATCCATCAGTCAAACATACTAAGGTTTCAAAATCCTATACAAACAAGTGAAACCTCAAACCAACAAGTCAAACATCCCAATGTTTATACATCTCTAACCAACAAGCCAAACATCCAAATGTTTATATATCTCTAACCAACAAGTCAAACATACCAATGTTTATACATCTCCAACCAACAAGTCAAACATCCCAATGTTTATCCATCCCTAACCAACAAGTCAAACATCCCAATGTTTATATATCTCCAACCAACAAGTTAAACATCCCAATGTTTATACATCTCTAACCAACAAGCCAAACATCCAAATGTTTATATATCTCTAACCAACAAGTCAAACACCCCAATGTTTATATATCTCTAACCAACAAGTCAAACATACCAATGTTTATACATCTCCAACCAACAAGTCAAACATCCCAATGTTTATATATCTCCAACCAACAAGTCAAACATCCCAATGTTTATACATCTCTAACCAACAAGCCAAACATCCAAATGTTTATATATCTCTAACCAACAAGTCAAACATACCAATGTTTATACATCTCCAACCAACAAGTCAAACATCCCAATGTTTATATATCTCCAACCAACAAGTCAAACCAACAAGTCAAAGATCCAAATGTTTATACATCTCTAACCAACAAGCCAAACATCCAAATGTTTATATATCTCTAACCAACAAGTCAAACATACCAATGTTTATACATCTCCAACCAACAAGTCAAACATCCCAATGTTTATATATCTCCAACCAACAAGTCAAACATCCCAATGTTTATCCATCCCTAACCAACAAGTCAAACATCCCAATGTTTATACATCTCTAACCAACAAGCCAAACATCCAAATGTTTATATATCTCTAACCAACAAGTCAAACACCCCAATGTTTATATATCTCTAACCAACAAGTCAAACATACCAATGTTTATACATCTCCAACCAACAAGTCAAACATCCCAATGTTTATCCATCCCTAACCAACAAGTCAAACATCCCAATGTTTATATATCTCCAACCAACAAGTCAAACATCCCAATGTTTATCCATCCCTAACCAACAAGTCAAACATCCCAATGTTTATATATCTCCAACCAACAAGTCAAACATCCCAATGTTTATATATCTCCAACCAACAAGTCAAACATCCCAATGTTTATATATCTCCAACCAACAAGTCAAACATCCCAATGTTTATACATCTCTGACTATACTGATACTCCTCCTGAGTGTAATAAGACAGGGACCTGCTCTGTACTCCATCATCGGATCACAGGACGCCAGACTCACCACATAATGACATCATCCACGCCTCAAACTGACCTTTGGTTCACACGACCTAATTCACACCTGTATATCGTGGTGTTGCAGCATTACCGTGACTGCTATAACATTGATCTGCTACCACCCTAATCCCGTCTCTATCAGGTTTTAATAGTCTAATCACTTGTACACAGTTAAGCATATACACTGTGTAGTTGGCTAAAGTATCTCACACACAGGTGCCAACAAGTGAACACGCCCTTGTAAACACCATGTAGACCTAACTGTATATTGTCCCTGGTTAACCATCCAACAACTTATGTTATTCTGCCGTTATTGATGTCATAATAGAAATGTTTAAATCTTTTAATGTTAAGCTGAAACGCTACTGATACTTGTACCATTCACAGTAAACAATGTATACAGTAAAAACTAGAACACTGACAGGTCAGTTAGGGCCCGTCCTGTGGCAATATATCCCCCATAATCATCAAGAAGCAATTTGCCAATATAACAGAGCTTGGCGTTTGACATTTGGACTTCATAAAGAATCGCAAAGACGCAAAATATACATTTCACATATACTATGATCTGAGTCTTGTTTCCTTCCACCTCCATATTTGCTTGGCAAACAGAAATGTAAATACTGGTGCAATATTCATTTGTTAGCTTTGATTTGTTATACCGGTATTTCACCTTAAATATCACATTGACTTTTGACCCAGTGACCTTGACCTTTGGTCAATTGACTCCTTGTTTAATTATGAGCAACATTCTCCAAAGGATCATAACAAAATGTTCACCAGTGAAAAGATACAAAATCTAACACTGACCCAGGGATCTTGACCTTTGGTCAGTTGATTAATTCCAACCAACTTTGCTTCATCATGTCATAAAAAAATGTGCATCAGTGAAAACATGCAAAATTTGACCTTGACCTTTGACTCCAATGACCTTGACCTTTGACCTCAATTTTTTACCTCAGTATATTTTTTCTTTGCTTCATAATGTCATAAAATGCTCATTAATGAAAAGCTACAAAATTAGACCTTGACCTCTGGTCAGTTGACTCTTTTTTTTTAATTCTGAACAACTTTTCTTCATCATGTCATAACGAAATGTCCATCAGTGAAAAGATGCAAAATTGACCTAGACCTTTAAACCTAATGACCTTGACCTTTGACCTTGAACTTTTATATATATACCTGTGTATTTTTGTGAACTGAACATCTTGACCAAGTTTCATTTAAATCGGTCAATAAATACCGTAGTTATCAGCCAGGAACAAAATTTGTGTACAGACAGACAGACAGACAAACATACAGAGTGATTACTATAGGGCACCCGTATCTCCGATACGGGGCCCTTATTAGTCACATTTGAATGTTTTGCCACAATTTAACTTTTGCCTTTTTTACACTCTGTAATGTCAGGTAATTAGTACATAGTATACCATATATAGTTGTAACATGTTAAGAGCAAATTAACACTAAGTGAAGATGAATTTTACTAGTGGAGGGCAAATAGATTTGGTCTACATTGGCTAGGCAAACATTTTCCAGAATAAAGTAACTTACCTACAGCAAACTGTACACCTTGTGTTCTGTGTGTAATGCTGTCTATGATGATCTTTACAATGTATTCACTGTTTTAAGGTTGTTAGCACTAACATTTACATTTCATTTCCCTCTCCAGGTGATTTACACTGACCTTCTCAGTTTCTCAAGGTTATTTATACAATGTAATATCATTTACACTGTATCTGCATCCAAAGGAATCGTTATTTCAACATTTACATTGCATTCCTGGGTCATGGTTATTAACACTGATCTTCAGTTTCCTTTAATTTATACTGTATCCTTTTCTAAAGGTCATTAACACTGACCTTTACACAGTATCCCCATCTTAAGGTCATTAACACTGACCTTTACACAATATCCCCATCTTAAAGTCATTAACACTGACCTTAGACAATATCCCCATCTTAAAGTCATTAACACTGACCTTTACACAATTACCCCATCTTAAAGTCATTAACACTGACCTTAACACTGTTTCCCTATCTCAAGGTCTTTAACATTGACTTCTACATTGTATCCCCATCTCAAAGTCATTAAAACTGACCTTTACACTGTATCCTCATCTCAAGGTCATTAACACTGACCTTAACACTGTATCCTCATCTCAAGGTCATTAACACTGACCTTAACACTGTATCCTCATCTCAAGGTAAATAACACGGACCTTAACACTGAATCTTCATCTCAAGGTCATTAACACTGACCTTTACACTATATCCTCATCTCAAAGTCATTAACACTGACCTTTATACTGCATCGCAATCTAAAGATCATTTAAACTGATCCTTACAATGTTTCCCATTTTAAAGCTTAACACTGACCTTTATTTGATATCGCCATCTAAAGGTTAATAACATAGACCTTTACACTGTTTCCCTATGTCAAGGTCATTAACACTGAACTTTAGACTTCATCCCAATTTATAGATTATAATTATTGACCTTTACACTGTATCCCTATCTCAAGGTTATTAACACAGACCTTTACACTGTATCCCTATCTCAAGGTTATTTATAATGCCTTTTACTTTCCTTTATCAAGTTTATGAACACTGACCTTTACACTGCAGGCCCTGCCTGAAGAGACCCTTGAGTAGCCGACGGCACCACTGGCAGATAGTGGGGCGTGTGTAGTTGTGGACATTGAATGTGTGAGGCACTTTGAGTTTGATGCGCCCATACAATTCTCGCTCCATCCAGATTGGTCGCCCCCCTAATGACTTGGAGCGACTGCTGCGTGGTTCCCCCACCAGCGGGAGAGACTGTTGATTTGGTACTGCTAGAGTCTGTAAACAAAATATTCATGATCAAATGAAAATCTGCCTTTGCAAACATACCAGCATTCTACATTTGAACCTAGAACATTGATTGGAAGTTTATACAGCCCTTTAATGCTCCAATTACATCCTTTTTGTCTTGCTTTCCTTTTCCTGGTTTAAGGAAAATTTATCCTGTAATTTTTTTTCTGTTCATGTGTTGCTCAAAATGACAAAGAATTTTGAAGATTTACCTGACTTTCTGTTTTAGATATGAGAGGGGAAAGTTTAAAGGTTTACCTGACTTTCTATTTTAGATATGAGAGGGGAAAGTTTAAAGGTTTACCTGACTTTCTGTTTTAGATATGAGACGGGAAAGTTTAAAGGTTTACCTGACTTCCTGTTTTAGATATGAGACGGGAAAGTTCAAAAGTTTACCTGACTTCCTGTTGTAGATATGAGACGGGAAAGTTTAAAGGTTTACCTGACTTCCTGTTTTAGATATGAGACGGGAAAGTTTAAAGGTTTACCTGACTTCCTGTGTCTGGCATAGTGTTCATGTCCACCTTCTCCCTCATGGAGTATGACAGACTACTGGTCGATGGCCGCCGTTGACGGTCATATGAGCAATTGTTGGGAATCTTGAAGGCACAACGTTTATGGAAGTTCAAGCCACACCCTGTCGAACATAATAAACAATATATAATGTATACATTTTGTGATGAATAGGGCTTTTCCCTCAAAAATGAGTTTTACCAATGGTTTTTGCCTATTTAACCCTTTCACCCCTATGTAACTTTAGTAGACTCTACCATGCATTTATATGGATGAGTCCATTATAGTTTACAGTGGTGGAAGGGTTAAGTGTGCCAAATCCAAAGGAGTGATCATGGTTAAAGGTATTGGTGAAATTAAGGTCTCTTTTGTTGTACTGTGTGACTAGTACTCCAAATGATTAGAATATTTCATTCAAAGTTCAAGTATATGATTTAAGGAATTCAAAAAAAAATCTTATCCAAAAAAAAGAGATGTTATATTTGATTAAATCCAAGTAATTGAACAGCTGTGCAGTGATAACATACCTTCACACTTTAGGCCCTGTTTGACGAGTCCAAAGAGCATCTCCCCACAGAAATCACAGAAGTGTGGTGATTTGTAAGAGTGTACAAACAGCAGGTGAGGCCTGATCTGTAGGTCCTCCATAGTGGTCTGGGCTACAATATATATAACACAGATTTTGTCAACAAAACATCACACAATGCAAGGTACAATAATAGGTGTAGTACATGTTTATAAAAACATGTCACAGAATGAAAATGTCTAAGCAAATCAGAGGCCAGGCACATCCATACTTCATTCTTCTTAAACACGAAAATGAAGAACACTTAGGTGGGACCGTCAAACAGAAACTTATGTACCTCAGGTATTGAGTTCGGTGACAAGCTATAGATCTGCAGCGGTGTAAAGTAAAACTTCTTTGAAGGAAAGTCATACATTTTTTTACAGCAATTGGAGTCGATCACTTCTCGAGAAAAAATATTGTCTTGGCCAATCAGAGGCAAGGTTGACAATCTTGTTAGATCAGCACGGGAAAAAGAATATTTGGTCAGGACCTTATATAGAATATTTGTAAAACAAATCAGAGGTCAAGGTGTCCATTTTTGGTTTTTGGATCTATTGGGATAAAAAGTAACAACAATTAGTAAGAATCTCAATAATAAAAAAAAATCAAAAAAAATCTCAATAATGTCATAGCTCGAGGACAAACTCTCTTAAATACTCAGTTGATAAAAAATATAGGTCACTGTATCTCAGTATTGTCTGAGTGCACGACACAAACTCATCTCAAGATGTGACTACACATGAAGTTTTGTTAACCTGCTTGAAAAAGTTAAGAAATTATGACTCAGAAATGATCTCCTTTGATTCTCTGTGGAGTCAAAAACAAAGCGGTCATGACCGGTGTGTCAAGTAACCTTGACTAAGTGCATTAGCACTTTTACCAAACATGCAACAGCACAGGGGATTTGGTCATTATGTAGGAATATACAAGGGAACTATACCGACTGGAAACATTAATCACGGAGAGATGGGATTGTTACAATGCAGCTTTAATTACGAAAGATGTAATCATATATCTGAGAAGTCTTATTGATCATACAAATGCTTCACTTTTGCAAAAATTGTTGCAAAACAATAATATCAATTTCAATAAATCATTATTTGTTATACCCTGGCAAACTAGGTATGCATTAGATAAATGGGGATATACACAAGGCATTAAATGAAGCCTGCATTAGCTTTCCATCTAAACAATGCATGTATATTAGGCTTCCAACTCAAGACTTTCCCACTGCCTGACAAATTGAAATAAAAGCATTTCCCCATAACTCACCATAAGCTTGTCTGATTTCTGTCTGTAATTTGTTATTTTGTAAATCATCTTGAAATAATAACATTATACCCAGAAGATGTTTGCTATACAATCTAAATAACTTACACAGAAAAGTTCTTTACCTACACACCATGAAGTAGAGCTTGATGCAGCTGGTGGCCATTCTTTGTTTTATAACTGGACATTATATTATCTCCATACCATTAATGTGATTTGTGTCTGAGACTACAGGCCATCCCTGTATATAACCCCTGGTCTTTATATATAAGGATTATATCTCCAATCAAATTCTATTTACAGTCCACTATTTCAGAGACAACAAATATATATAATCTTGTTTAAAATACTAGTAATGGCAGATTACAGTCAACAAGAAAGGAATATGAACAATTTCGCCCTCTTCTGAAAAATTCAGATAGAGTTAGCTATAACATTGAAATGATGGTGCCTTCAATCTCATTGGCAAAGGGAAATTAAAATGGCCATCAAGGGTAACAGAACAAGTTTTATATATAGTCAAGATAAATCATTTAAAACAAAATTATTTGCCCTCCAAATACCATCATTCTTGACCGCAAAGTTTTTATTGTAGAAAACATTATTTGAAGTTCTTAACATACTTGACTTATGTAACGTTGAGTGGGTGAAGGTTACATTGTACGTATATGTTTAAACAAACGAGAGTCTCTTGGTAAACCAGAAGTCTTAAAATGTTTTCGCATCTTACCCCTCTAACCAAGGAAGTACTCCTGAGTTCATTTATCTGGGCAAATTTGATAGTGCTTCACACAATCATGCTACTGACCAAATATCACGAACCTAATGAAGAAATATACCTTGAAAATTGGTCAAGGTCATCCAATCTGAAGAATTTGATAGCCACCAACCCTCAGCATGCTACTGGCCAAATATCATGACCCTAAGCCTCTTGGTTTTTAAGAAAAAGGTGATCTATATCATAAGAGTATTGTAACCTATGTTAACTAAGCCAGATGCAAGGATACACTATTAATGGTTTCTTTGTGCGATTAACAAGTCCTGATGTACAGTGTGCCACAGAGGTGTGCATAGTGACATATAACAGTCATTGAACTGTAAAAAGAAGCAAACATATTTAAGATTTCATTAAGGGCTTTGTTTACCCAGAGTCTCTGCTATACAATCCAGTAGATATCTTCTACAGAAGTATACAGCTCCTGTTGTGTTCTATTGTCACCAAGGCAACCAATGGTTACCTGGCTAAACAGAACCCAGATCATTCTGTTTAAACCATAATTTACCTAGTCATTATAAGTTTCATACAATACCATATATCCATTTCTATGTATTTATAAGCCATGGTTTAACCTAGTGTATAGTCCCGTATTGTACCCTGTACTATGTCCATGTAGCTAAGTCCCTAATATTGTATTATATCCATTTTGATGTAAACCTATGTAATAGGAAATTTGTGTATGACAATATAATCCTACTGGTGGTGTATTATATGTTTGATAAGACAGAACTCACAGTGAATAGCCGACACACGTCTCCTCTTCTTTTTTACAGACAGTTGTCATATATATATTCCTACGAAATGCTCCTGATATCTTTGGATAGTGATTATAAGTCTTGATAAAGTATACAATATATGCGGGAAGATTTGTATTGACCTGTATGGCCCTCTGGATATTCAACTATATGTAGTAACCGATGACACTACACATTTCTCTGTGGACAGATAGTAGGACAATTACTCCCACATCCCACGCCATTAATGACCCTGACAGGATCTGGATTCAGTCCGTACCTACCTGTGTATATATCCATTATAGTGAAGACAAAACTATACAAGTCCACATTTCACAAACTTCTTATCTTTGACATTTAATATATCAGTTACACATTTAGTTCCCTTTTCTTATCTTAACCTACATCTATAAATGGATCTATCTATCTTAAGACTAATTGAGATAACATCTACTGGCCTGGAAGACAGTCACATTAAGTTTAGGTACAAAATCTTAAGTGCACCTCAAACGATAAACATATTTGTAACCAACATCTTCTTGTTTACATATGTCTCTACTTCGGATGACATATGTCTTGAGACACATGTGCCAAACATCTGTACACATGTCTGTTTATTTAACCTGTAATTACACATCTTTCATGTTACCTCAAATAGCACATGTGACACATCTGCTGATCAAATACAATATACATAACTCTAATTACACACATGGGTCACACATCTGCTGGTCTCATACAGTATATACCTTTAATCACACACATGGGTCACACATGACGATATCTGCTGGTCACATACAATTCTAATTACACATGTGTCACACATCTGCTGGTCACACTTGTACATCTAATTACACATGTGTCTCACATCTGCTGGTCACACTTGTACATCTAATTACCCATGTGTAACACATCTGCTGGTCACACTTGTACATCAAATTACACATGTGTAACACATCTGCTGGTCACACTTGTACATATAATTACACATGTGTAACACATCTGCTGGTCACACTTGTACATATAATTACACATGTGTAACACATCTGCTGGTCAAACTTGTACATCTAATGACACATGTGTAACACATCTGCTGGTCACACTTATACATCTAATTACACATGTGTAACACATCTACTGGTCACACTTGTACATCTAATTACACATGTGTAACACGTCTGCTGGTCACACTTGTTCATCAAATTACACATGTGACACACATCTGCTGGTCACACTTGTACATCTAATGACACATGTGTAACACATCTGCTGGTCACACTTATACATCTAATTACACATGTGTAACACATCTACTGGTCACACTTGTACATCTAATTACACATGTGTAACAGATCTGCTGGTCACACTTGTACATCTAATTACACATGTGTAACACTTTTGCTGGTCACACTTGTTCATCTAATTACACATGTGACACACATCTGCTGGTCACTCTTGTACATCTAATTACACATGTGTAACACATCTGTTGGTCACACTTGTACATCTAATGACACATGTGTAACACATCTACTGGTCACACTTGTACATCTAATTACACATGTGTCTCACATCTGCTGGTCACACTTGTACATCTAATTACCCATGTGTAACACATCTGCTGGTCACACTTGTACATCAAATTACACATGTGTAACACATCTGCTGGTCACACTTGTACTTCTAATTACACATGTGTAACACATCTGCTGGTCACACTTGTACATCTAATTACAGGTACCTTTAGGTCTTTATTATTACTCATGTACATGTATATTGTTTATCATATACATATTAGATTTCTCTTATTTGCATGCATGCATACCTCTAAATTTAACATGATTTATTATGCAAGTTTCATGGTTGAATGCCGAGGAACGAACATATGAAGGTAATCGTATTGCCTTTGGAATTACAAATGCAGATATTATCATACTTTTTGGCAAAATACCTCAAACTATTCGATGATATATAGATTAATTCAAAGACAAAATCATGAAGATAACTTAAGTCATCTTTTATAACTGATTAACGTTCAGAAGAAAATTTTCATAGAATACGTTCAAATTCAAATCTACTGCCAGCGATTCTTTTTGCCATTAAGTCCTACAATCGAATAAAAAAACCAGGCTGCTGCCCCAGCAAAAAACTGCTAAATTTTCACAAATGTTGCAAAACATGTGGGATATCTTCCCAATTTCAATGAAAATATGGACTTATTTTCCCAAATTGTGTAGAAAATCCAGGCTTTCGTAAAAATTAATTAAAAAAACCACTGACTGTATGATTAAAACTGAAACAGTGATTTCAAACTTAGAAGATTAAGGCATAAAACATTATCCACCATAAATCCACAAAAGGTCACCAAAACACTGATTGTATCATTGATTGTACTTTAGGAGACTGTTACTCTCCCGTGTAGATATATAGGGTTAATCTGTACCACATACACACAGGGTAAAGAGAATCTGTCGGTAGGAGAGTCTACCCTCTCTATATACATCATCTAGTATGTTCACTAATGTTATTGTACCGTGTTGCTCCTTCAAAAATAAGAACAGTTTGCAAGTCTTCTCTATCCATATATAACTAATGCATAAGGTTCAACCAGTTTTGGCATTTTGTTGGAATTGATAGCCTATTGTACACCAAGGTTTACAACTACTGACACCAATGCTACCCTATAACCTACTGCAGATACAGGAATCCAATAGCTATATAGAGCAATGTTGTCAGTTGTCAGATAGGAGGTAGTACCAAAATGAGCTCAATATCTGAGCAGCAGCATCAAATTGTAGACTAACATGTATAATGTGGTACCACTCTGTGGTCTTACATGTACAACTTGTTACCTAGCTGTGGTCTTACATGTACAACTTGTTACCTAGCTGTGGTCTTACTTATACAACTTGTTATCAATTTGTCACTAAAATCTTGTTACCTAGTGGTGCATGGTCTTGCATGTACAACGTGTTACCTAGCTGTGGTTGTGCATGTACAACTTGTTACCTAGCTGTGGTCTTACTTTTACAACTTGTTACCTAGCTGTGGTCTTGCATGTACAACTTGTTACCTAGCTGTGGTCTTGCATGTACAACTTTTTACCTAGCTGTGGTCTTGCATGTACAATTTGTTACCTAGCTGTGGTCTTGCATGTACAACTTGTTACCTAGCTGTGGTCTTGCATGTACAACTTTTTACCTAGCTGTGGTCTTACTTGTACAACTTGTTACCTAGCTGTGGTCCTGCATGTACAACTTGTTACCTAGCTGTGGTCCTGCATTTGCAACTTGTTATCTAGCTGTGGTCTTACTTGTACAACTTGCTATGAACCTGTGGTCTTGCATGTACAACTTGCTATTACACTGTAGTCTTGCAAGAACAATGTGTACTAACTCGATCATCACCACTTGTAATCTAGATGTGACCTTACTTTTACAACTTATAACAAATTTGTCACCTGCAACTTTTCATCTAGCTATGACCTTACTTAAGCTTGTACAACTTAAATTATAACCAATTTGTCACCTTTAACATACCAAGCTGTGACCTTGCTTTTACAACTTTTTACCAAGCTGTGATTGAGATACCAGTACAGGTACAATTTGTTACCAAACTATGGTCAAACATATAATAACGTACAGCATTTATACAGTATTTTGTATAATTTATAAAATGTTTGTGTCATAACATGTACAATTGTTTTTGCTGTTACTGTCCTGCTCACAAGTCTTCCTACTTTTAATTTTCTTTGCAGGTACTTAATTTTGCAATTAAGCCAAAACAATCGATTTTTCAACAACACCAAAAATTCTACAATGGCCTTTGATTCTTATTAAACGACATTTTGTCATGGCCAACAACCTTGAGAAACGCATTCACGGCAATGCAATAAAATGCCGTTATAGTCAAGACATGCTTTATCACATCAGAAAATTGCTGAACAGCCTAAATCAGGCTACTGGACTGAAACAGTGAGTCTATTTCCTGGAAAGGTCAGGTTTCAGTCAATACAAACTTAATATCTGTCTCAGTATCTCACAGTCTATTTCCTGGATAGGTCAGGTTTCAGTCAATACAAACTTAATATCTGTCTCAGTATCTCAAAGTCTATTTCTGCTTGGATTTCGTTTGAATAACTAGAAATTTGTCAGTACTTAAAATAGTTTTACAAATAACCAAAAATGGTACCCTAGAATACATGTAGGTTCTAGAAAGACTCCTTGACGAATTTCATTGTAAAATTGAAGAAAAAATTCCAAACTCACTCCACAAAAGAGGATACATATGTCTGAATAACTATTGTTATACTTGGTAAATTTATTAAAAAGTATACATTTCAAAGGTCATTTTGGTAGCAAATAGGCCAAATACATCCTATATGATTTTATCCTTTATTTGCATCTCTACATCTGAAAGACTTGGTACTCTAATTACCAAACAAACTAGTTGGAAAACAGTGTAATGTCACCTGGGGTAACAATTAGTTGGACAGTGTAATGTCACCTGGGGTAACAGTTAGTTGGACAGTGTAATGTCACCTGTAACACTGTGACAGGTACTTACCAGACAAGACGACCTCTACCAAGCATCCTTCCTTAACGTCGGCCGGTGAGTTGATCATCTGGAGGACATTGGCACTACTGACATCATGGCGGAATAGAAGTATTTTGTCCACCAGGCCATAAAACCCATGCTCAGGAAACTGGCAAATAAATAAACCACATCAGCCTTGAAGGACAAACAACCATTTGCATAGTTAACAGGAAGTGCCATCCTAAATGAAAACTTTTTATAGAACATTATGATTTATGTAGAGTTATGAACCCTGGTGGGATTTACATACATGTGTGGTCCGACATATAAAGCTGTAAAAGTGTAACATAATATGTATAGACTAATATAGCACTGTGCAACATACTTTAATATCATGGTATAGTAAAACCTTGAACACAATTGTAAAATTAGGCAGATTTAGTGATATATTGCTGCAGGTTTTCATTTTTCTATTACCCTTGTCTTTGAATACTATATATATATGAAATGCTAGACTAGTAAGACCAATTCATGTAGATTCTCAGAGAGATAAAAATAGTGTTCAACATAGGAACAGCTAGTGGCCTAATTAAGTTGATACAAGTGCAGTACATAGGACGATACTCTCCATTGTCTTACATTATCTCCATCTTTGGTACTTTACAGCTGTAAGCTAAGGTGGTTTAAAGCTGTCTACAAGGGTTTTTTATGAACAAAAAACAAACAATTGGGTCTGATTTTTATCCATAGATTTCAAATGTGAACATTTATACTAAAATTTCAGGCTAATTATAAGCATCCAAATTCAGGACATAGGTAGCTATACTGTGGAAACATTGATATTTTTTAAAGCCTAAGTCAAAATCTGTCAAGTTATGTAAAAGTTGCTTTAAAGATATTTCCCAATATATTTCCCAGCTTTAGTTAATAAGGCATAATTACCCCTTATTCCCCTGGGGGTCTTTCTCCCCCTTATATACAGAACTGAAATGTCTAGTTATGGTGTGGCTTACAATTCAGCTGGTGTTCATGCACTTGTGGTTTGTTGCAAATATTCAAGGATGGACAGAATAAAAACATTTTTTATCACTTGGCATAGATCACCTGTCCACCGATATTTAATAATAACCACTTTTTGGAAAACATGCAACATAAATATCAGTGGGCTGGTTAGGCCTAGCAATAAGTAAAATGTTATATTTTCATCCACCAACAATTTTCGCCTTTTCTTCAAATGCAATGCACTGGTGTTGGAATTCTACCTTCAATTGTTTCAAAACTTCATAAACATAGCTGTATTTATCACCATTTCCGCCTCATGTTAAGTTGAATTTCCTCTTTTGTTAGATAGCAAAAATAGTGAAAACACAAAACAAATTGAAAATTCTTATTTAGCATTTATGGAGTAGTTTGCTTTTAATGGGCTCCTGATGTCTGCAGAGTCCCAACACACGTTATAAGCTGGGCTGCTCCGGTACATTTGACGTTTACAACAAATTACCAATGCACTATACCATAGTACAGTGCTCACATACAGTGCTCACATACAGAGCTCAGTGCATTACCAAAAGATTTATGTAGAAAATGTCTATTTCTTCATGAAAAAATAAGAAAGAAAAAATAATAACCAATTCTGTGTACACAACCACATGCATGTAAATAATTACATCCACTTTCAACAGGCCATCAAAACAATTACATACAATTATACACCACAATGTGGTACATCAGGCCAAACACTAGAAATGCTCAGCTTCCCACTTTTGGCTTTCAAAAATAAGGTATGTAGAAATAGCTAGGAAGCTATGGACAAAACAAAGGTTATATAGAGTGTGTTTAAATCTCTCATCGTAATGCTTGCTTGAATTTACCCAAAACAAATAGGGGTCGGCAATAAACACTAGGACAGCTAGCGAAAGCAGAATCAAAGAACTTTCTTGGCATTAAATTATATGTAAACTACAGTATGTGAATGTAAAGCATGGAAATAGTGGCATCCTTCCTAAATCAAGTTCTTAATCAGAGGAAGGTAATGCTCTCCATCCAGGATCACTAGCAGTGTACATGTGTCCATCTGTGATGTTAGTATAGATACATTTCTGTACGTTGTAGTAATGTACAGATGTATCATACCAAAGTCTATCAAATCTCATACATATCACTGAAGTGTAATTATACTATACAAATATATATAAAGAACATATCAAAGGAGACCTCAGAGAATTTTCATGAATGGCCACATCCAGAAATTCGTACTTTAGTGGTTAGGTTAGTCCTGGAGGAAGCATAGGGTGATCATGACTGCATGTGGTTATAAAAGGCCATAGAAGGTCAAATATATTGATTTTTGAGTCGTGACACCATATATGTCTGCATACTTTTTTCAGTGACAGCAAGCACTAGCCATTTTTTTTTTCAAAAACAAGCCCCCACCCACAGAGGAACAACAGGAAAACCCCACTAAAATATATGGGATTCCTTAAATCTTTTTTGCTAATTTTGATAGAAAAACGGGACTGTTAGTGAACACTCTGTTGAAAATGAAAGTGTGGAACACAGAATCAATACATGACTGAAACAGTATTATGGTGCTAGTAAAATATATAAATTGTGTGACTGCAAGTGTAAACAACAACAAGGCATTATAAACAGTGCACCAGTCTACAACCACAACAATACAGCAAGTCCATGTCAGGTAAGCAGCTTTAACTCACATTATCAGGGAAGGAAAAAAGCTGCACATGTAATCAGATAAAAAACAACAATGCTTATTAATACTGTCTAGTATGCTCATTTTATTTACTTTGAAAGTTGTTTCATACCTGAATCAAGTTTAAATACATGTGTTTCTTGTGTCCTTTAGCTCACCACTGTGTCACCTTATGTCTGTCTAATGTTTTAATTTGATTCTAAGGTTAATAAACAGCAGGCTGTGGATGCTGATGCTGAGGTTACTAATGACAGTATGTATATACAGCAGGCTGTGAATACTGATGCTGAGATTACTACTGACAGTATATATATACAGCAGGCTGTGAATACTGATGCTGAGGTTACTACTGACAGTATATATATACAGCAGGCTGTGGATACTGATACTGAAGTTACTACTGATAGTATATTTATATACAGCAGGCTGTGGATACTGATGCTGAGGCTACTACTGACAGTATATATATATACAGGAGGCTGTGGATACTGATGCTGAGGCTACTACTGACAGTATATATATATACACCAGGCTGTGGATACTGATGCTGAGGCTACTACTGACAGTATATATATATACAGGAGGCTGTGGATACTGATGCTGAGGCTACTACTGACAGTATATATATATACAGGAGGCTGTGGATACTGATGCTGAGGCTACTACTGACAGTATATATATATACAGGAGGCTGTGGATACTGATGCTGAGGCTACTACTGACAGTATATATATATACACCAGGCTGTGGATACTGATGCTGAGGCTACTACTGACAGTATATATATATACAGGAGGCTGTGGATACTGATGCTGAGGCTACTACTGACAGTATATATATACTATACAGCAGGCTGTGGATACTGATACTGAAGTTACTACTGATAGTATATTTATATACAGCAGGCTGTGGATACTGATGCTGAGGCTACTACTGACAGTATATATATATACAGGAGGCTGTGGATACTGATGCTGAGGCTACTACTGACAGTATATATATATACAGCAGGCTGTGGATACTGATGCTGAGGCTACTACTGACAGTATATATATATACAGGAGGCTGTGGATACTGATGCTGAGGCTACTACTGACAGTATATATATATACAGGAGGCTGTGGATACTGATGCTGAGGCTACTACTGACAGTATATATATATACACCAGGCTGTGGATACTGATGCTGAGGCTACTACTGACAGTATATATATATACACCAGGCTGTGGATACTGATGCTGAGGCTACTACTGACAGTATATATATATACAGGAGGCTGTGGATACTGATGCTGAGGCTACTACTGACAGTATATATATATACAGGAGGCTGTGGATACTGATGCTGAGGCTACTACTGACAGTATATATATATACACCAGGCTGTGGATACTGATGCTGAGGCTACTACTGACAGTATATATATATACACCAGGCTGTGGATACTGATGCTGAGGCTACTACTGACAGTATATATATATACACCAGGCTGTGGATACTGATGCTGAGGTTACTACTGACAGTATTTAGTACATCACATGATAATTACTAGGATAGCTATTGGATAACTACCCTTGCTCTATTTGGTATAGTTAGCATCCGCCCTTGACGACGGGCACTATACCTTTTTTTTGGACCGCTGAGACTGCGGGAAAAGTAGCGTGACGCCAAGAGTTGCGCCCCTTCTCCTAGGGGGCGCTGTACATATTCTACTTTCAGTTCATTGTTGTCGTCTGCAAAAATGGCTTCGAGATTCGGGACCGGGAATGCCGATTGCTTTGCAGAGGCTCAGCAATGTATGAAAACGAAGCAGGCGACACAATTTGCAGTCACAGTCCTTAAAGAGTTCCTCCTGGAAAGGGGAACTGTATGTGATCTTGCGACGAATTTAACGGTGATAAACGGGGATAACTATAACTATGTATGTCAACAACAACCTGTCTGCCTGTGCGATTGTGATAACAGGTGATGTGCGCTGCCAAGTAATTCCATATCAAAGCAGGTAATACAAACATGTTTTTCATTAGATTATACTAATAATTATCTTAACATATTTAATGTCAATATAGTTTTGTTTGACTAGCCTATCACCTCTGTTTTTGCGCGAAATTCGATTTCCAGACAAATCCATAAATATGTTATCAATGCATTTCCTCGTGTTTGTCTTTTTATTGTCAAATGGCAGTCATGTGATGTACTAAATCTATTATGACCCTTTCCCTAACGGCACAGGCACTATACCTCCCCAGACAACACTATAAGAGAACAGTTCCCTCGGGAAAGGGCCATAATAGAATAATATATACAGCAGACTGTGGATACTGATGCTGAGGCTACTACTGACAGTATATATATACAGCAGGCTGTGGATACTGATGCTGAGGCTACTACTGACAGTATATATATACAGCAGGCTGTGGATACTGATGCTGAGGCTACTACTGACAGTATATATATACAGCAGGCTGTGGATACTGATGCTGAGGCTACTACTGACAGTATATATATACAGCAGGCTGTGGATACTGATGCTGAGGCTACTACTGACAGTATATATATACAGCAGGCTGTGGATACTGATGCTGAGGCTACTACTGACAGTATATATATACAGCAGGCTGTGGATACTGATGCTGAGGCTACTACTGACAGTATATATATACAGCAGGCTGTGGATACTGATGCTGAGGCTACTACTGACAGTATATATATACAGCAGGCTGTGGATACTGATGCTGAGGCTACTACTGACAGTATATATATACAGCTGGCTGTGGATACTGATGCTGAGGCTACTACTGACAGTATATATATATACAGCAGGCTGTGGATACTGATGCTGAGGCTACTACTGACAGTATATATATACAGCAGGCTGTGGATACTGATGCTGAGGCTACTACTGACAGTATATATATACAGCAGGCTGTGGATACTGATGCTGAGGCTACTACTGACAGTATATATATACAGCAGGCTGTGGATACTGATGCTGAGGCTACTACTGACAGTATATATATACAGCAGGCTGTGGATACTGATGCTGAGGCTACTACTGACAGTATATATATACAGCAGGCTGTGGATACTGATGCTGAGGCTACTACTGACAGTATATATATACAGCAGGCTGTGGATACTGATGCTGAGGCTACTACTGACAGTATATATATACAGCAGGCTGTGGATACTGATGCTGAGGCTACTACTGACAGTATATATATACAGCAGGCTGTGGATACTGATGCTGAGGCTACTACTGACAGTATATATATACAGCAGGCTGTGGATACTGATGCTGAGGCTACTACTGACAGTATATATATACAGCAGGCTGTGGATACTGATGCTGAGGCTACTACTGACAGTATATATATACAGCAGGCTGTGGATACTGATGCTGAGGCTACTACTGACAGTATATATATACAGCAGGCTGTGGATACTGATGCTGAGGCTACTACTGACAGTATATATATACAGCAGGCTGTGGATACTGATGCTGAGGCTACTACTGACAGTATATATATACAGCAGGCTGTGGATACTGATGCTGAGGCTACTACTGACAGTATATATATACAGCAGGCTGTGGATACTGATGCTGAGGCTACTACTGACAGTATATATATACAGCAGGCTGTGGATACTGATGCTGAGGCTACTACTGACAGTATATATATACAGCAGGCTGTGGATACTGATGCTGAGGCTACTACTGACAGTATATATATACAGCAGGCTGTGGATACTGATGCTGAGGCTACTACTGACAGTATATATATACAGCAGGCTGTGGATACTGATGCTGAGGCTACTACTGACAGTATATATATACAGCAGGCTGTGGATACTGATGCTGAGGCTACTACTGACAGTATATATATACAGCAGGCTGTGGATACTGATGCTGAGGCTACTACTGACAGTATATATATACAGCAGGCTGTGGATACTGATGCTGAGGCTACTACTGACAGTATATATATACAGCAGGCTGTGGATACTGATGCTGAGGCTACTACTGACAGTATATATATACAGCAGGCTGTGGATACTGATGCTGAGGCTACTACTGACAGTATATATATACAGCAGGCTGTGGATACTGATGCTGAGGCTACTACTGACAGTATATATATACAGCAGGCTGTGGATACTGATGCTGAGGCTACTACTGACAGTATATATATACAGCAGGCTGTGGATACTGATGCTGAGGCTACTACTGACAGTATATATATACAGCAGGCTGTGGATACTGATGCTGAGGCTACTACTGACAGTATATATATACAGCAGGCTGTGGATACTGATGCTGAGGCTACTACTGACAGTATATATATACAGCAGGCTGTGGATACTGATGCTGAGGCTACTACTGACAGTATATATATACAGCAGGCTGTGGATACTGATGCTGAGGCTACTACTGACAGTATATATATACAGCAGGCTGTGGATACTGATGCTGAGGCTACTACTGACAGTATATATATACAGCAGGCTGTGGATACTGATGCTGAGGCTACTACTGACAGTATATATATACAGCAGGCTGTGGATACTGATGCTGAGGCTACTACTGACAGTATATATATACAGCAGGCTGTGGATACTGATGCTGAGGCTACTACTGACAGTATATATATACAGCAGGCTGTGGATACTGATGCTGAGGCTACTACTGACAGTATATATATACAGCAGGCTGTGGATACTGATGCTGAGGCTACTACTGACAGTATATATATACAGCAGGCTGTGGATACTGATGCTGAGGTTACTACTGACAGTATATATATACAGCAGGCTGTGGATACTGATGCTGAGGTTACTACTGACAGTATATATATATATAGCAGGCTGTGGATACTGATACTGATGTTACTACTGGCAGTATATATATACAGCAGGCTGTGAATACTGAGGCTACTACTGACATAATATATATACAGCAGGCTGTGGATACTGATGCTGAGGTTTCTACTGACAGTATATATATACAGCAGGCTGTGGATACTG